GTCGGTTATGCTATTATGTAGGTTGCTGTGGGGGGTTCATTTATTATGTACTAAGTGTAAGCACTGGGCTCTCTTCTCTCTCCCCTGTGAAGTATATTTCCTCAGCTAAAATAGAGACTCCCCCAGGGAATCACCCTATTGTTTTCATGGGGGGAGAAGGGGAGGAGAAGGGAAACTCCCTAAGTTTAGCCAGGATTAAGAGAAAGACAGTTTTAATACTGCCCGTTGGCTCTCTTTGTGTACTCCCATTTGTCAAACCGTGGGTCCAGACTTCTGGTTAGGAATATGTGGTCACTGTACCTCTAGTTAGTGCCTTTTGTGACCTCCACTGACTTTTTTTATAGTGACATAGAAGTCTGGGAACTGCATTGTACCCAGGGAAATGTTCCAAAGCAATATGGAACCTCGGGTGGTCAGAGCTGGGTGCCAGGCTGACAATAACTGTTTTCTCCTGTGGACTTTTTATTGGTTCATCCCTGTCGTCACTGCCAATTTGTAGCAGTGGGAGGTTTTCCTCCCACGTTTTTCTGCACCTTCACTCGATCATTTACAAACACACCATATTATTATTATTATTTTTAAATATATTTTTATTGATTTCAGAGAGGAAGGGAGGGGGAGAGAGAAACATCAATGACGAGAGCGAATCATTGATTGGCTGCCTCCTGCACGCCCCCTACTGGGGATCAAGCCTGCAACCCGGGCATGTGCCCTTGACTGGAATGGAACCTGAGACCCTCTAGTCTGCAGGCTGACGCTCCATCCACTAAGCCAAACCAGCTAGGGCCACATACCATATTATTAAAAAGTTATTTTTACATTTATATTAATACCCTGATTTTTTTCCTCCAAAAGGCATTAGTCACTGTTTTTAAAAAATATATTTTATTGATTTTTTAGAGATTGGAAGGGAGAGGGATAGAGAGTTAGAAACATCGATGAGAGAGAAACATCGATCAGCTGCCTCCTGCACACTCCCCACTGGGCATGTGCCCGCAACCAAGGTACATGCCCTTGACCGGAATCGAACCTGAGACCCTTGAGTCCGCAGGCCGACGCTCTATCCACTGAGCCAAACCGGTTAGGGCATTAGTCACTTTTACGGGAAAAAACAGTGTAGTATAAAAACTTCACCCAATATAGATATTAATAAGATAAGTAGTAATCCCATAATGTACCAAAGATCAACGTTAAGTTTTCATGTCTCATTTATCTCATTTTAGACTTAAAAAAATATATTAACAAATAATGTGACTTTTTAAAAAACTTAAATGGGATTATACTTTGCTATCTTTAAAATACAGTTATGGACATCTTTCAATGAAAGAATACATAAGATCTACATCAGCGGTTCTCAACCTATGGGTTGCGACCCCTTTGGGGGTCAAACGACCCTTTCACAGGGGTCGCCTAAGACCATCGGAAAACACATCTATAATTACATATTGTTTTTGTGATTAATCACTATACTTTCATTATGTTCAATTTGTAACAGTGAAATTGGGGGGGTCACCACAACATGAGGAACTGTATTAAAGGGTCGCAGCATTAGAAGGTTGAGAACCACTGATCTATATCATCTTTTTAAACAGTTGAATGTTCAATTTAATATACTGTGATATGTGCATTTAACCAGTCCCCTGGTGGACATGTAGGTTAATTTATTATTATCACAAAGAGCACTGCAGAGTAAGTGTTCCTATCAGGATTATTTCTAAGAATGTGAATCTCTGGGCTTAAAGACTATACATTTTATATTTGGTACGGACTGTCAGAGTGCCTTCTAGAGAGGTCGTGCCATTTTATGCTTGGCCAACACCGGGACACACCTTCGCTACATTCTTTGCTAATCTGCTGATGAAGTCTATCTCCTTGTTTTAATTTGCACTTCTTTGATTTTTAGTTATTACAAGCCTCTTTTACTTACTATTTGTATTTTTTGCATTGCAAACAAGTTAATTTTCAATGCCTGTTTTGTCTTCTAGAACATTAATTCCTTGTTGATTTAAAAGCTCTTTAATGTTATATTTGTTTATAGACATGTCAATGGTACTTTTATATTCTTGCTTATATTTATGATATTTTTATCCATACATTGTTGTGAAGTTTTCTAAATTTGTTTTTTAAACTATGTTAATAGTAGTGTCTTTTGCTTGTAAGTTTTTTTATGAATTATTACCTTTCAATCTTGTCTTTATGTTTTTGACCTTGGGAGGTATTCTAAGAAAAGCCCCCCAAACAAGGGTATAAATATAAAAAACACTCAATTTCTTTTAATATTATATTTTTTTCCTTATTAAGTTTTTGATTCAGTTAGAATCTAGTGTATTATGGGTGATTATTTTATTTTCATTTTCTCCCCAATGGTTACCCTGTAGTCCCAACATCATTTTTGAACAATCTACAGTTTCCCCACTGCCTTCAATATCATGACGAGCAAATACTAAATTTCATAAATGCACAAATCATTTTCTGAACTCAGTCTGTCCTACTTACCAGTTTATCTTCTTAGGCCAGTATAAATGGTTTTAATTTCTATAACTTTGGAAGTTTTTTTCTTTTTGATGTAATTTTAAACTTACAGAAAAGTTGTGAGAAGAGCGCAAAGGACTCCCATATACTGTTTACTCAGACAACTCAATTTAAAAATTGTATCAGATTTGCCTTATTCCAAGTTGCATATAAGATGCCCCAGTACCCTTTAATATTTCTGTTTGGATTCCCTAAAAAATAGCACTTATCTCAATAACAGTACAACCATAAAAAACCAGGAAACTGACATAATACTACCATCTAATCCCCAGGTCCCATTCCATCAGTGATACTCTGTTATTCTCCCTGCATGTCATTTATTCCATTACTGGTAATGTTAACTCTTATAACTTGACTAAGATGTCATCTGCCAGGTTTCTCCAGGGAAAGTTAATTAAAAGGTATTTTGTATTTATTAATAAGTAATTTAGTATCTTGTGGAACAGTATTTTGAGAGTACAAAAAATTCCCGTTCTTCAACCAGCATTTACCCATTTAACACCCAGATGATTCTTGCCTAAATCAGTTATTACTAAGTTGGCTGCCAGGAAGTGATTTTCTAAATTCCATCATTCCTTCTATGTTTATTAGTTGGCCTGGCATCCATATATATAAAAGCCTAAGCGACTGGCCGTTAGCTATGATGTACACTGACCATGATGGGGCAGAGACTCAACGCAGGAGCTGCTGAGTGACAGCAACTTTGCAGAGTGCTCTCTTGCACTTCGGGACCCCTAGGGGTATGTCAGACTGCTGATGTCGGACTGCTGGTTTTGCCCCGATCCCCACAGGCCAGGTCAAGGGACCCTACTGGTGCAG